GGGGGGGCTTCTTAAAAGTTTGTTTATGTACTGTACTGTACACGTTTCATTAAATATTACTTGGCCTGGGCTCCTTTTTCATAAATTACTCCACCAGACAATATTAACAATAATAATAACATCACATTTTATTTGCATAGCTCTTTTCTTTTCATAAACACTTTACAAGAATCAAGAAAAATTGCAAACAGAACACTAATACTTCAAACAAAATCATAAAAGGAGAACATACCTCGATAAAAATAGTCATACATTAAAAACTCTTCTGAAAAGGTGTGTTTTTAGATGTGATGAATAATCAGTCCGTGTCTGCTGAGGTATCATGGAAGCCCATGTTACTTTCAGCTCAGCAGTATTGTTGACTCTTATCTTCCTCTGGAAGCTCTTGTAATAATTCCTTCCTCCTTCAACTGCTTGTTTGAAAAGCAGCCGATGTACCTGCGTATTACTTTATTTCAGGAGGGTAGGGTGCAATGTTTTTTTAAGAACTGTTTGCATAAAGTCAACTTTTTTTTTTAAAACTCCGAACCATACTTTCAGGCGTGGGAGGGGACGGGGAAGGGAGGTGTCCGAGGGTCATTAAACGCAGCATTATCTCTTCGTGTCGCAGTCAGGTTACAGAGAGAAGGCGATGCTGCTTGAGGACCGATGTGACCACTGTAGCTCAGCGGTACAAATGCTTCTGGTCTCTTTAAACTGCACTCTTTACGTTTACAAATGTGCAGCTACTATCACGATATTTTTGTGGCACTTCTTTTTTTTTCTTCATTTAAAAAAATTTATTATGTTTTGCATATTTATATACAAAAAAGCAAGAATAATCCAGAGCTTTAATCCTAATTTTCCCACACAGGCTGTTGCAGTTAGTGCTTGCTTTCGCAGGTCATAACCTGGCAGCTCAGTGTACCTTTCCTCATTGCTCAATAGCCCTCAATAATATATTCATGAGCTCACAGGGCTAATGTCTCCCACAGAGAAAAGGATGTTTCCCCTCCCTCCTCCTGAAGCCTACTGAGTGAATGACTGCAGATTAGAGCAGATCATTTTCGAGAAAAAGCAAAAGAAAAAAAACGGAAGAGGAGGAGGAGCATGACGTCACCTGCAGATGATCACCATGTATGGGGGCGGAGAGGGGTGGGGGAGAGTGGATGGCATGGATCATGCAGCATGGCCCTGTGATTTCCCTTTACCTGCGACACACATGTGACAGAAGTACACACTCTCTGACAGGAGGTATCGTCCCTTAAAGCCAACGTGGGCCCAATGGGAGACGAGGCCAGGGCCGGGGCCAAAGCTGGGGCCCAGACCAGAGCCAGGGCCTTAGTTATTAGATTCGTCTGCAGTATCTTGCCACAGGGCAGTGCAGCGTGGCGAATAAACAGTCCAACCTGCCTGTGTTTTTCAGACCTCTGTTGCCCTGGAAACAGGTTCCCGAGATTTCCCATTTCTTCATTTTTTTTCTTCTTCTCTATCCATCTCTCCCCCTCCTCCTCCTCCTCCTCCCCACCACCACCACCACCTCTACACTCCACGCGCTGCAG